TGAAAAATTGTGTTCTATATATGTAATATGAACTGTAATGCATTCTGCTGTCATATATGACAAATTAGAATAAAAAACTTAAAAAAAGAAAAAGAAAAAAATTACAGTTCTACAGGAGGTTAAAAAAAAAAAAATCAAGTGTCCTAACTGGACTCAGATATTTAAAAGTGGTTTCCTCCTTTTTTAGCCTGGGAAGGGGGCAGGACATGAACATATTTTACTTATAATAAGTGATGGTATTTGTATGTCACATTTTAAAAAATGAGGTGATTTTGGAGCTTATATAAATAGTTTGGTGAAAATTTTTTCTAGATTTTCTTTTAAACATATAATTATAAGAACACTAACATAACATTAGGAAAAGACAAACTTGAAAATTTTCTAATAAAATCTTTAAATTTTTTTATTAGAAAGTTGAAGTTTTCTTAATAAGAATAAAATTTTTGATTCATGTTTTAATCTGGAAGTGACAGTCAATAAGACACTTAATAATAAGCTCTTCAATTTTTTAATAATTTTTTAGTTGTAGTTAGACACAATGCCTTTATTTTATTTATTTATTTTTATGTGGTGCTGAGCATCGAACCCAGGGCCTCACTTGTGCTAGGCAAGCACTCTACTGCTGAGTCACAACCCCAATCCCCGATTTTTGAATTAACTAATAATAATGGTATGGGGTACAATGTGGTGTTTTAATACATGGTTTTAGTATAGCATAATCAAATCAGGCTAATTAGCATAAACTCACTTCACATATTTACAATTTCTTTGAGCCGAGCATGGTGGCACGTGCCTGTAATCCCAGCAGCTCAAGAGGCTGAGGCTCAGAAATTCAAAGCCAGCCTCAGCAATGGCAATGCCCCAAGCAACTCAGTGAGATCCTATCTCTAAATAAGATACAATATAGGAAACAACCCAATCAACAAATGGGCCAAGGACCTGAACAGACACTTCTCAGAGGAGGACATACAATCAATCAACAAGTACATGAAAAAATGCTCACCATCTCTAGCAGTCAGAGAAATGCAAATCAAAACCACCCTAAGATACCATCTCACTCCAGTTAGATTGGCAGCCATTATGAAGTCAAACAACAACAAGTGCTGGCGAGGATGTGGGGAAAAGGGTACACTTGTACATTGCTGGTGGGACTGCAAATTGGTGCAGCCAATTTGGAAAGCAGTATGGAGATTTCTTGGAAAGCTGGGAATGGAGCCACCATTTGACCCAGCTATTCCCCTTCTCGGTCTATTCCCTAAAGACCTAAAAAGAGCATGCTACAGGGACACTGCTACATCGATGTTCATAGCAGCACAATTCACAATAGCTAGACTGTGGAACCAACCTAGATGCCCTTCAATGGATTAATGGATAAAAAAAATGTGGCATTTATACACAATGGAGTATTACTCTGCATTAAAAAATGACAAAATCATAGAATTTACAGGGAAATGGATGGCATTAGAGCACATTATGCTAAGTGAAGCTAGCCAATCCCTAAAAAACAAATGCCAAATGTCTTCTTTGATATAAGGAGAGTAACTAAAAACAGAGTAGGGTCGAAGAGCATGAGAAGAAGATTAACATTAAACAGGGATGAGAGGTGGGAGGGAAAGGGAGAGAGAAGGGAAAATGCATGGAAATGGAAGGAGACCCTCAGAGTTATACAAAAGTACATACAAGAGGAAGTGAGGGGAAGGGGAAAAATAATATAAGGGGGACAAATGAATGTCAGTAGAGGGAGCAGAGAGAGAAGAGGGGAGGGGAGGGGAGGGGAGGGGGGATAGTAGAGGATAGGAAAGGCAGCAGAATACAACAGACACTAGTATGGCAATATGTAAATCAATGGATGTGTAACTGATGTGATTCTGCAATCTGTATATGGGGTAAAAATGGGAGCTCATAACCCACTTGAATCAAATTGTGAAATATGATATATCAAGAACTATGTAATGTTTTGAACAGCCAACAATAAAAAATTAAAAAAAAAAAAAAAGATACAATATAGGGCTCTGGATGTGGCTCCGTGGTTGAGTGTTCCTGAATTCAATCCATGGTAGCACCCCCCCCCCAAATATCATTTCTTTGGATGAGAAAATTTAAAATTCTCTTTTTTTGTCTAATTTGAAACACATGATACACTATTATTAACTTTAGTTACTGTGCTGCACAATAAAACACTAGAACTTATTTCTAACTGTAACTTTGTACCCATTGACCAATGTCCCCCCTTTCCCATTCTCCCCCACTCTCCAACCCTTGATTGTCATCATTGATGAGAAACCATTCACAAAAGTAGATAAAAAATTTAAGGTCATTATTTTTTCACAACCATATAAATATTTTAAAAGTTGGAGTTACATTTAAAGATTGACAACTTTTCCCTAACTTCCATTAACAAAAGTGATGGCAAGAGCCGGGGTATACCTTGTGCATTGCCTAGCATGCACAAGGCCCACCAGGTTCAACCCCCAGCTTTAAGAACAATAAAAGAGTGATAGTGAATTTTGAATTAAAAAAAAAAAAACCTCTCATATCAATTGTTTGAAAACAGTTATAATGCAAATGGTATTTGCATTGTTGGAACAGCCACTGAGGTAGCTCAGATTTCAGTAAAGATATATAAGCATTGACAAAATGACAAAAGTGTCAGTTATCAGTGATGATAGATTTGAGAACTGTGCCACCAGAAGTCCACAGCCCCACACCACAAGCTCTAACCAGCTGTCCCTTGGACCACATTCTGCTATACTTTTTGGTCAATTGCACATAAATTCCTTAACTATTGACGTCTCTTGCCCAGAATGGGCAAGCACACTCAGCAGTTCATAGCTGAGGCAGGAATGCAGATGGAAAAGCACCTCCTTACATACTCAGCATTTCTTGTCAAAGCTAAGAAGGCCAATTTTCATTTTCCAACTGTGTAAGGATCTGGGACATACCAGCAGATTCCTCCAATCATGCTACCCCTCTAAGGACTCTCAAATGAGACTTTTTAGGACCTGAGGCAACTGGCTTCAAAACATCAGCTGTGGTGAGTCTGCTTGCCATTTCAAAAATGGCATTGATTTCTCCCACCACAGGCACTGAACTACTCAGTACACTGATTGCTCTAGAGAACAAAGTGCTAGTCAGTTAGCACGCCCCTATGACTTTCTTACACATATATCAACAGGCTCAGATTCAATTTAGGTGGGAGTCAGACTGGAGAAAATACAGAGCTAGAAACCCTCACAAATGTCTTTGGTTTCATATAATCCAACTGATTGACTGAGGGACTCATTCATCTGTTTATTTCACAACTCTTGACCAAGTGCCTGTTCTGTGCTAGGTAGTAGTCCTGTACAAATGGAAGTGTAGAGAGGTTCTAGGAAACTCTCATTTAGGCACTTGGAGTCAGGAGTCTTAATTCTAGAATAAAATAATGTCTTTCTCCCTGTTCCCTACCACATTAAGTATTAAATGAGCTAATGAGTGATCCTTTTCCACAGGATCTGTGTCACCTCTCCCTAATTGACTTGTAAAATCTCTATATTTCTGGATATTTGTTGGATCCATTGTTTGTAAGTCTTAATACAAAAGTGAGCAGATTCACTCTTTATTATGCCTCTCAAGGGTCCCAGATCAGGAACTTAAGAAACATTTGATGAAAAAGTAACTGTTCCTTTATTTACTTAACTGGCACAAATCTAGTTCTCACATCCAGTGGGCTTATGCTTCTGCCCCCAGAACATACATGTTTACATTTTTATATTTTCTTGATCCTGACGTCTTGACATTTTTCTACTCTTGTATTCTGATTTTCCTGTAAGGCTGCTCTTCTCACAACCCCAGGACTCCTTCAGACTCATCCAGGAGCTACAAAGTAGAGAGCAACTGCTACTCTGCTGCCCCCTAGAGGACCTTGTCCAACACTGACTGACTGTGCTCTTGTGCTGTCATGAACTTCCTAAGGAAAGCGTCCAAGCAATAATAGATGGACCTATGAGAATAGAATAATGTTTGTCTCTGTGAACACTTGTAAGCAATGGATTTTACAATAGGTTAAAGACTCAGGTTGAAATATTCTCTGTACATGGAGCTAATCTCTAAGCACCTCAGACTCTGCAGAGGGTATTGCAATAAATCGGTGTCACTTGTTTTCTCTTACTCTGTGAATTTCCCTTCTTGTTAATATTCAATGTTTTCAAATAATTTCTCCAAATGCTTGAGTCCAGAATAAATATAAATGATAGATCACTAGATTAGTTTTTCAATCTTACTAAGATTTTACCCAATTTTTCATTTACCCAATTAAGTTATATAAAAGAATTTTATTTGCTGTTGGTAGACTTTTTCTAATAATATTCTCCACAAGGCAATGCTTATAAAGTACTCTCAAAGTCTCTAGTAAAAGGAAACTCTGGTCTATACAACCATAAATATGAAAAATTGTGCTCTATGTGTGTAATAAGAATTGTAATGCATTTCATTGTCATATATAAATTAAAAATAAATAATTTAAAAAAGGAAATTGTAAAATAAAAAATATTTTCTATATCAGTGTCATGGGTACTAGAAGTTTTAAATAAATAATTTGCAAATAATTATTTCAGGAAGAACACAACCAAGGAATGTAATATAGAATAGAGATATCTATATGTAACAAGAAATTCACAAATAAAGTCTCAGATAAACAGGTTGAATAGATTTTTGTAAAGATTATATTCCAAAACTGAGAAAAAATTTACACTTAAATTTCATACCACCTAAATTTTGAATTAATAATATGTGGCAGTCACTGAAGAATCTGTATATGCAGAAAAAACATATTCTTACATTGTAGATCAAATCCAAGATTGTCTTTTTTTTACTAAAATGAAAATACCTTAAATTTAACAATCATAACAATTTTGTCCAAAATGATATATCACATATTTATAATACTATATTTTGTTAAACTGACAAGAGGGAGCACCTTGAAATGAGAAACATAATTTGCCCCTGAATTCCTCACATACCTCCTTCACAGAAACACTCCTCATGTCTCGGTGATGAGAATGAAAGATATTTAACGATGAACAGTTTGTCAAGCCACATGAATACAAGGCAATTTTAGAAACAAAACAGAAAGTAAGGGTCATAATGGAAAGTACCTACCAAAACAACAATCCCAAAGAAAAGGAAACTATGGAGGTTTACAGGCATAGTGCTGGCATCAGATTGGCTCTGGTGAAGGCTTCATGGCAGATGGCATTACAATGGTGGGAGGTCATGCAAGAAAGAGAAATCATGTGAAAGACAGGAAGCCAGAGAGATTCAGAAGACGTGATTACTCTTTTGTAACTCACTCTACTGGGAGTTAATCAGGATCCCATGAAAATTCCCCAAGTCTCTTGTGACCTAACCATCTCCACTGGCTGCACCTCTTCAAGTCTCCACCACCTCAACACTGCCATACTGAGGACCATGCTTCCAACATACGACCTTTGTGAGACAAACCACATCCAAACCTTAGCAGATGAGAATATACACAGCAGGATTATTCATTAAAAGCAAATACTGGAAATAAACCACATATTCCTAACAGTAAATAGTTAAATAAACCATAATGTGTCCATATAACAGACTATAAAACAGCATTGGAAATTAACAAACTACAATATGGATAAATCCCAAACATGAAGTTGAATGAAAGAAACTGAACACAAATGAATGACCCCACTTATATAAAAGTCAAAAATATTGTCAAACTTACATATGGCATCTAAAGATGCAGAGGTATACAAAAAAACTATAAAGAAAATCAAAGAAGATATTATAATACAATTTACTATAGTTACATTTGTTAGGGGGGAAGGGACTGTATTTGGGGATAAGTACAGATAGGGCCGGTGGGTATTGGAAATGTTCTGCTTCCAGACCTGTGTATTTGTCAATGGGTGTTCACCTTTACACAAATTTGTTAAAGTTAACATGCATGCTTATATTCAATGTTTCATTTTTTTTCTGAATGACATATTTTCCAATAAACACAGTGTAAGCTACTCCATAGGAATTATATGTTTATTATCTTCCCATAATTATAAGCTTACACTTGGAAGTGTTATCTCACTCAAAGACTACTTCCCAAAGGTATTAACTAATTTTATAGTTCTCCTTTCATTATAAAATATAAAATAGAGCAGAAAATTGTGTCTGGGTAATTTCTTTGTACTATCTTCATTACATAGACTGCATTTTCTTTCTCTTCCTTAACATAAAAAAAATAGAGTTTGATTATGAATTTAAAAATTGGGTAAAAATGAAAGCTTAACTAGGTAAGACAAGATGTAATCATGATGTAATTCCTTTACTTTGTCAGGATCCAAATGTCAAATTGGAAGAATGATACATGGTTCTTTTCAGCTCATCTTCAAAAAGAAATGATGGGAGCCACTGATATAGAGAAGAAAAGGACTCTAAGGGATACTTAGAATTTAGGTCAGGTAGATCAGCACTCCCTATAGTAGGAGCTACGTAAGCTGAAGACTACTTCCTTCACAGTTGTTAGGAGATACAAATGGTATTACCCTTAGCTTAGTCCAGGGGAAAGACCCTGAAATTTTCAGGGAGGAGGCTAGAATCCATATCATTCTGTTTAAGCATAGTACTGTCATTTGTAAAGAGAAGAACTAATCTTTGCTCTAACTACGGCACTGGATATTTTGAGAAGCAAAGAAAAAATAATTATGAATTCATCTTATATGTAAACAGATGTAAAGGATTTGTAAAAGATTTATAAATTAATAAAGGTGATTTTACACGTGTGAGATGGATGTAGGGACTCAATTTGAGTTTTCTTCATGCCGCTCAAATACTAACCTAATGAATCACCAGCATTAATAATATTGTGTAATATCCTTGGGTTAACTGGGTGGGATAAGCTTGAAAAAAAATAATTCTTTACAAAGATATGGTGAGGACTCAAATAGAAAGCTTATCAATGACTCATGTGAAAATGATAACTCTCAAACTACCAGAATTCTTTTAAGTACTGATAATATCAAAAGAAGGAGTTGTCAAAAGAACTTGAACTCAGACTATCTTGCCAGTTTAATTATTATTTAATATCTGAATATTTGCCAGTTTAATCAGTCAAAATAAATTCCCGAGACTCTAGGAAGCAAAGAAAATGGCTTGTCCCAGTCTTCCTAACACTGTGCAGAGCTGGCATATGATGTTTATTAAGTGACTGAATTAAGTGGATGATTTTGTCTCTCTTGTGCCCTAAAAAAAATCTATTAAAAACATTTTTTAAATGCAAATGAAGCCCTCCCACAACATGGCATAAGTCCTGTTGGTTTTAATGGAATTTCCTTTAAGTATTCAAGGAACAGATAGTTCTTAATACTTAAAGCCTTTAAATGAATTTTAATGGCCATCTTTCCAATTAATTCCACAAGGTCAGCCTTACCTTCTATTAAATTTTTCTCCATAGTTGTAGCATCTATTGAGATAATACATAAAGGAATAAGAATGGAAAACATATTTTAGTAATGAGAACTATGAAGAAATCAGAAAAATTTTAATAAAATACTGACATATGGGAAATGAGTTCCATGTTTCTAAGACCTCAAGGGTTTAGAAATATCAATTAATTTAGCAAAGTACCTTGAAAAGGTCTGAAATAGCTGAGTCTGAGAGAAATAAAGTGAGGAGATAAACTTACTTTATGCAATAAAATAAATTCAAGGTATGATAAATTAAAACATGGATGCTGAAACAAAATGATATTGGATTAGATAAAATAGTACACTGAGATATAAAAATATGCATCATAATTTAATATATTAAATTATTATTAAGTTAAATTCTAGTGAGAGAAAGAGAAATATGGTAAAAGAAAAATAGAGTGACCATTTACAAAAATCAGTATTTAGATATTTAATTTAAACCTTACACAAAAATTAACTTCAGTAGGATTCGCGAAATAAATATTTTCATATACAAAATAAAAATAAAAGACATGAATATTCTTATAACCAGAGACTTTTAAGAATCTGATTCTTATAATCAGTAATTCTTCTTATAATCAAATAATTATTTGTAATAATAACTATAAAATCAGTAAGTATATTGGGAGGTTGAGACAGGAGGATCACAAGTTTAAAGCCAGCCTCAGGAAAAACAAAGTGCTAAGCAAATCAGTGAGACCCTTTATCTCTAAATAAAATACAAAATAGAGCAGGGGATGTGGCTCAGTTGTCAAGTGCCCCTGAGTTCAATCCCTGGTACCCTCCTCCAAAAAATCAGTAATTATGGATGAAAAGATGGGTAGGTTTTAGGGGAAATAATGAGTTTCTATTTATGAAAAACACAACACTGAACAACCATTGAGGAATTGTAAGATGGTGATGTAAGGATGTCTTTGCTCACTTAGTTCAGTAATAAGCTGACAACAACATTAGAAGTGAGGGAAAAAAAATCCTCTCCAAAACAAAACTAGGAAACATCTGTGCTCCTTGTTCATATCAAAAGAAGACCTGTCAAAGATGTGAAGGGAGAATACTCACTACAAATCTCAAGTAGAAGCAGCTTTCCATAATTGCCTCTAAAATACGAAACATCTTAGAGAACCAAAAGCAATGACCTTTTGTTTGGAGATGAAAAACAGTGTCTAAGAACTTCCTTGAATCCAACCTGACCACATAGGGAGCTTTTTTAAAACTTTTCTGGTCGCTACAGAGGAGAGAGTCATTTAAATCTAAGACTTGGAAAGACCTTACATCATCCCTCCCATCCAACAGTAAACTCCTTTTAATAGCCCAAGAAGTCCCACCTTATTTAAACATGGGAAATAAAAATGAATACAATTTAATCCCATAAGGTACAAATTGTAAGAGCAAATATTGAAAAAAAAAAAAACTTAAAATACTCTGACTATGCAAATACACAAAAAAGGTGCCCATGAAGCAGATGAAAACTAAAATTATAAGATAAACTATTACATACTAAGAAAAGCATTTTCACTTTTGAAAGAACAGCACAAATCTGAAATAGAAAAGCTCAGATGTTAAATCGAAATTATGTGGAGAAAATTAAACAAGAGCCAAGACATCTCTGGAAATAATTTTTAAAAAATGTGCTCTCCTCAAACAATTCAGTCTGAAAATTAATAGACAAGATCAAGCATAATAGGCATTTATGTGAAATATTCACCTTTCTGTGTGTGCACAGGTGTGCATGACCTGGATTAGGTGCATGGGCAAGTGAGGAGAGTCTGGGGAGCACTAGCCCAGGGGGTATATCAGAGCCCCAGTAAATGAGGATAGAGTCATTTAGATCTAAGACTTGGAAAAATGAGGAGAGCATTCAAATTGGGGGTTGGCATGGCAAAGAGGCAGAAAAGGGAGTAGAAAATTAGAGATCAGTTCAATACATAGAAATGTATCAAATACATAAACATGTCAAGGTCAGGCCTATTAGAGAGTAAGGACACACTATAAAATGAAAAGGAAGGAAAGTAAAATGAAACCTGTAGAGGTAGATTGAAATTGGAGGGGTATGAACTCATTATTTTCCAAATATATATATGGATATAGAAATAACTACATATCTGTGTGTGAGTGAGAATATGATTATACACCCTAGGTCTCTCCCCTGAGAGAAGTGACACACCAGTGACAACACACCTAGCACTCAGTTCTTAGTGTTTTAAATGCCATTCTCTACTGAATACAACCAGAATTCCTTGGAGAAATTAATGATTCCTTATCTGAGGCAAGATGAGTACCTTATGAGCCTGAAACATCTTGTTGTGCAAGAAAATAAGGAAGTGTCTAAACAGAGTGATGAGGTCAATTCAAGAGGACATGGAAGCACACACTCACATTCTCTCTCTCTCTCTCTCTCTCTCTCTCTCTCTCTCTCTCTTTCTCCCTCCCTCCCTCCCTCTTTGACTTCTCCTTTAGAAGCTATCTTTAAGGAATTCCCACTGGAAAAATCTAGGATGCTTTGATCATCAAACAAATCATAATATTAATAGACAGAACTCCAACTGATAGTACTTCCCAGCCCATCCTACCTCATACTGGGAAGATG